TACAGAGCATCTGTCACTTGCTACCATTCCCTCTGTCCCCAGGCTTTAGTACCAGATTTGGTGATGCTTGAATTTCTAAGCATAATTAGATTATACTCACCTGTGAACACTTAGAAAAAAAATTGCTTGATAATTATTTCCTTTTCAAAATGTAGACCAAGGTGATGGCAAAATCCTGTTATTGATATGTTAGGGAAAAGGGGTTCTTCTTTAGTAATAGAATATTTATGGATCTCTTTTTGTATCAGCTTGGAAAGCAATGTTACCCCAGATTAGTTAGATTCAGTGGCAGAATCAACTCAGTATTTGTTTAGTCCAACCTTAAGCATTATGGAGAATGAAAGCACTGAACACAAAAATATGGTAGGATGTTGGGATCCCTTTGAGTAGATCCAAGTTTAATTGCAGCTCCTGGGAATGAAAAAACTCGAGTTTTATCACCAAAGACCAATTTGATTCTAAAGTTATTAATAACTATAACTGTGCAACCCTGATTTTCCTATAGCTATTTTCACTTTTATGTGAACTAAGTAGCTCTTGAAAGTAATATTACAATAAAGGCAAACAGAACTAATGTTGATGATGCTATTACCCAGTGCTTACTCTGAAGTACCTTCAAAGCTTCACATGCTCCATTTTACCATTGCCACTATTAGTCTAGTTATCAAGAGAAAAAAATTCATTCCAATTTCTAGGTGTTTGAAAACAATTAACTATATGTTGTTACCTCTCAGTGGGAATGAAAAAGCCCAAATTGTCATTAGAGTCTTGTGGAAATGGCATTTTTTTCCTTTAAAAACTGAATTGTGTCATACTCTGTCACATTATATTATATTAAACATAGGACACATTTTTGATGTGCTGCCCATATCACTGAAGGGATATGAAATTAAATTTATGGGTTATCTTTTCCAAGGAAATTTCCCTTTCAAAACTTTTATTAATAACAAGTGCCAGGCCGGGCGCGGTGGGTCACGCCTGTAATCCCATCACTTTGGGAGGCCGAGGTGGGTGGATCACGAGGTCAGGAGATTGAGACCAATCTGGCTAACATGGTGAAACCCGGTCTCTACTAAAAAAGTACAACAACAACAAAAAAATTAGCCAGGCGTGGTGGCGGGCGCCTGTAGTTCCAGCTACTCGGGAGGCTGAGGCAGGAGAATGGCGTGAACCCGGGAGGCAGAGCTTGCATGAGCAGAGATCGTGCCACTGCACTCCAGTCTGGGTGACAGAACAAGACTCCGCCTCAGAAAACAAACAAACGAACAAACAAACAAACCAAAAAACAAGTTCCAGTTAGATTAGATGCTCATAGATATCTAATTTTAAAAACAAGGTAAAATTTTATGAAACTATTCAGCTTCCGCTAAATAAATCTATTAGATTGCTCCTACCAACCTAGAAGAGTTTCTGTCAACCATCAATTCAAAGAAGCTGATTTCTCTCCCCCATCCCCGCCCCCTCCCCTTAACTGACATTCCTCTAACCACCTCTTCCCATTGTAGTCTGCAGAAGCAACGCTGAACTTCGGAAATGAAGCTATGGTTGGCATGTGTTTGCCAAAGGCACAGCAAAATTGGGATGGAAAAAGTGTACTGACATGCACTGTAGCTTCATTTAGTGATGAGCAAATCTTATGGCTATAAATGATTAAAAAGCATGACATTGAATGCTACTTTGAAAAAAAGTTTCTCTTTTCTAAGAAAAATTAGAATTTTCCCAAAAAACTTTGGCATTAGTTACAAATGAAACTTTGAATGTTTCCAAGAAACAGTGCAGGTAATTATGTTTACCAACACTGTTGAGGCATGAAATTAGAAGATATCTTTAAATTTCGGGAGGGAATCTGGCTTCTTTTAACTTATTTGGCTCTGATTCTCTCCTTCCAAAATTAGTCCAGTGATAATATTATAAGAAAGTAGAGATTTATTATACCCACTGATGACTTTAATAATGCCAGTTGGCATTGGAAAGGAATAATTTTTAAAAAAATGAATGCTCAGTTACTTTGGGCAGTAGAACTACACTTGAGGGAAACATGATGTGAAATTACAATCTTTTTCCATTAGGTTTTACTTCTAGATAAACCTATGGATGTAAAAATTTGAGACAGGCTTCTGCTCCCACTACTATTGCATAAAAGTCTAGATAAAAACTGGTGCTAGCAAAGTTAGTAATAACCAAATAACTCAGATTTACAGACATCACAAAGTCTGCAACCTCAGAGAAATATCAGATCAAGAGAACAAATTCTAGGAACCACCATTAGATAAAAAAATAATTTGACAGGTAAGGCCATGGATTGGTATCTGATTGATGGGGGTTGGACTCTCAACTCTGACACTTATTGAGTGTGTAATCTTAAGCATTATCCCCCAAAACTCTGTTTCTTCATCCATAAAATGGCAATAAGAGAAGTACTTGTATTGTTAAGCTTATTCTGTGGAATAAATGAGATAACACATGTAATATGCTTAACTTCTGGTTCATTATAAATTCTCAGTCAATGTTAACCGTGATTTTTTTGTTTACTATTATGATAGTTGTTCACTGCATAGGATCAGTTATTTTATTTAAAGTTTTTATGATTTATTCATTTAAAAACACTTCAAAGTTAGATGCGAACTACATAAATTTTGAGCTTTAAGGATACCCAAAATGTGACACATTCAACATAATTGATAAGAAATACGTTAATGAAATAAAATACTCAATTTTAATGATTAAGAACTATTTTGCTATTTGCCATTTGCAACAACATGGATGAACTTGGAGGATGTTACACTAGGTGAAATAAGTCAAACACAGAAAGACAAATATTATATGATATCACTTATATGCAGAATCTAGAAAAGTCAAACTTTTAGAAGGAGGAGTAGGATGGTGGTTGCCAGGGGCTAGAGTATAGGAGAAATGGGGAGATGTTGGTCAAAGGGTACGAACTTTCAGAAGATGAACAAGTTGTGGGAATCTAATGCACAGCATGGATGGTGCATTTGATTGTGGTAATTGTTTCACAATATATACGTATATTGAATCATCACATTGTATACCTTAAATATGTCCAATTTTTATTTGACAATTAAACTATTTTTCTTAAAATGACTTCCATTGATTGGATTTGCCAAAGTCTTACCCTGAATGGTAGATACCAGTTACAGACATAATTAACTCATGTTGGGATATATGCCTACATGCCTACAACACAAAAGTCATCTAACTTTTGATACTCTAGTTCCTCAGACCAGTTAAGGATTTGGAGAATTTCATCCTTTACATCCCTTAGCAATGGAAAATGCTATCACAAGTTTCTTCTTGTGTTCTCTAAAAACTAAGATCCATACAGAAATTCAAGTTGAAGTGTGGTGTGGGAACTAACATGATGCAGTTAGAATGTAGGCTCAGGAACCAGATTTAAGGTTTGGTCTTTACTTAGTCACTTACTAGCTGCAGACTTTGGGTGAATTACTTATCCTCTCACCTTTAGTTTTGTCATTTATAAAGTGAGTTATTGATAGTATGTATTTTTGAAGATGATGGTAAGTTTCAAATGAGCTAATGCATATAAAACACTCATCAAAAGATCTGGCATTTTATAAGTGATCAATAAATGTTTATTATTATTTTCATAATTTTACTCATTTCATTGATCTTTTGGCTGGGCTGTTGTAATCATTTTCATATTGCTTAAAGTATGATGCTTATAGGGTCACCAGTATAAGCTTTCCATCAATGGTATAAGTTTCACTGTGTATGATTTGTAATTTATGTCACACATAGATCTGGTTACATGGACAATAAATTGGGAGAATATGAAGGTTCTGTATCAAAGGAATAATCAGAAAACAACTTGAGCAGCAGAATTTGATGAGAGAAACTAGAAACATCATTTTTATGAATGGATAAAATAATTGACTATTATTAGCATTACTAATTGTTTCAATTTGTATAATGAGCAAATTGAAAAAAATATTTATAGATAATTCTTATTTTTTGGTATTATGTTATAATAGTCTTATGGCTACTAATGAATTTAATTTACATTCTGTTTAAAAGAAAATAACTACTCACATTTTCTTTTCCAAACAAGTTACATTCCTAAGGAATTCCCTGACATATCTAATTATTCTGAATTTGAATTGCCAGCTTTTTGGGAAATGAGTGTTCAACTTTAGGAAAATTCAAACTTATCTTGGGATGAATAAACATTTTCAGGAAAACTTTTCTTAAAACCATATATAGAACATTATGTTCTAATAAGGCAGATATTATACTGTGGTGCTGATCTTGTAGCATGAAACCACAAAAGCAAAACTGGCTGTGGTGGATAAAAGACCCTTGGGCTCTACAGGCTCATGGAAATGGCATATGTGAATTGGGAGACACCAGTTTAGGTAACTTTTAGGATTAAGTAAGTGCATCCCACCATTCCAACTGTGGCTAGTAAACAGAAGCAATAAGAATCACATGAAGTATAATGTAATGAAAAGAAAAACAGAATGCGGTTACTGAAATACTATAATTTTCTGTTGATTGCTATTCCCCTACCTTTTCTTTTCTCCCCAATCCCCAATCATCCATCTATCTCTCAAACATCTGTACCTATTCAACTATTTATTCTGATAGTACATAATGGGACAGACTCAAGGCAAAGATTTTCTTTTAAGTATGACTCTTTTTTTCTTCCTTTTCACAATGTTAGCCAGACATAGTCATTCTTCGTGGACATTAAAATTCTGAAGATGTGTTATCCTTCCAGGAAAATGTGAGAAACAACATTCAAATAGTAGCCAAAATTTTATTTTATAAAAAATGCTCTACCAATACTGCATTTTCAGGACTTGGACTAACCAGTGATACTCTGCAGTAAAACAAAATTGATCCTTTACTCAAAGGGAAGTTGTATATTTATTATAAGACACCATATACTTATTCTCAGATAGCTTTGGCCACTCATCATTTCTCATGCTTTGTGGCTAATGGAAACATTGTCTACTTACTGGATGGAACTTTCAATGCGTGTGATAGTGAGGAAAGCAGCGAGGTTTGCTGTATAAGATGAGATAACAATCAAAGCAAATAGCCACCAAGCCCCCATCATCATTCGGGTAGCCAGAGTTGTGTACGGGACCTCTCCACCTGTAGAAAGAAGCAAAGAGATAAAAAAAAACATCAACTAGCATTTATTGAAGATCTGAAGTCATCTATATTCAACACCAAATTAACTTTCAAGTAGTGAGAAATTTTTCTGCTTAACATCAACGTAGATCTCTATATTTTCATCACTCCATATTTAATTCTCTTTTATGAGATTATGAAAGACACGGCCAAAAGAAGCATGATAAATATTTAGTATACCATGTTTAAATGATAGTTCTTCCCTCTTCCTGTTCAACCCTATAATTAATTACCCTTTTATTACAATCACAGTATATGCTTTCTTTCCAAGGGCTTGATTATTCATTAGTTAGGTGATACTAATACTGCTATGCTTATATTTAATGGAAATTTTCAGATTTCCAGCTAAATAAATAATATTGAAATTTTTTTTGTTATATTCTCTTGAAACATAGCTTGTTAATGATCACGGGATCACACATATTAGTGTTGGCTTCAGCATCACATACTTGCTTTGTTCTACTTTCAATTGACTTCCTACTCTTACAGTCTTGTTGCAGAATCCTCTTCTCCATCTTTTAAATGTTGGAGTGTTCTTGGGCTCAGTCCTTAGACTGCTTCTGATCTTTGTCCATAGTCTCACTCTGGATAATATCAATGAGTCCCCTGACTTTGACTGTGATCTACAGTATACTTCAATAACACTAGAATTTTTATTTCTAGCCCCCTACCCTGACTCTCTCTAGAGAGCTATAGATAAAGGCCTATGTGATTCTCACTTGGAATCCAATATGCATCTCTAACTTATGACTTCTAAAACAGAACTCGTTTTATTTTACTCCTAAATTAACTCTCCTTCAAGCCAATCTATACCATGTCAGGGAATAGCACCACTATTTACTTTATTTCTCAGACCCAAAATAGGAATTTTCAAACATCTTCTTCAATAGCAAGTCCTGTTACCTTTACATTCAAATTACATCCCAAATCCTACCTCATCTCATCCTGTCTACTGTTGACACCCAATTCAAAGATGACATCTTTGACTCTACTACTGAACGGCTCATGTGGTTTCCCTATTTGTTTACATTCTAGAGAGTACCACTCCTAAGTCTATTACCATGGTGCTCTTATAAATGAAAATCAGATCAATGGGATTCACTTGATCAAAGCTCCCAGTGGCTTCCCAGGACTCTTTAACAAAATAAAATAAAAAATCTCTACCAAGGCTTACAAGGCTCTATGTATACTCATCTTAGGTCAGTTGTCTGACTTTCTTTCTTACCATTCTCTCAATGGCTTTCTTGAAAGTTCCTCTATAGAGCCATGCCAATATATGTCCCAGGGCCCTTGCATTTGCAAATGGCTATGCCTAAAATTCTCTCCTCTGTAATTCATAAATTCTGTCTTCATTCAATTTTTTTTCAGTTCTGCTCAGAGGATATCTTTTTATAAAAATATTTTATCACCACTCTATCTAAAATAACTCCCCACAACCCTACACTGCCAATTTCTTTATCTTTTTAAAAATAACAATGTATTAGGCTTTAAACATTTTTGTTTTTTTCTGTCCTGTATAATTTTTGATATAGGAATAGTCCCTGGCCCATGTTAAGTGGGTAATGTTTTTTGAATGAATATGTGCTATGTTATGGACTAACTTGTTTCTCTCCCAAATTCATGTCCTGAAATTCTAACCCACAATATGATTGTTATTTGGAGATAGGCCCTTTAAATAAGTAATTACGGCAAAGTGAGATTGTAAGCATAAAGTTCTAATCTGACACGACTGATGTCCTTATCAGAAGAGGAAGAGACACCAGGGAGGCACATGCACAGAAGAAAGGCAATGTGGAGACACAGAAGGTGGTGAGCATCTGCAAGTCAAGGAGAGAGGCCTCAGGAGGCACCAAACCGGCTGACGCTTTGCTCTTGGACTTCCAGCCTCCAGACCTTTGAGGAAGTAAATTTCCATTGTTAAGCCACTGAGTCTGTGTTATTTTTTATGGCAATATTATTAGACTAATACATGCTATATATGAACTATTAACAGGCCTTCTAAAAGGAGTTAGTTTTATACTCACAGTGGAAATAAATCAAAGAGATATAATACTACATTCATATAGTTCTATCAATATGTGAACAACAACAGGATTTGATTTTTGATTTGCTATAATATCAGGCATATTTTTATTACAACCACTAGTTCTCACTGTGTAATATGTCTAAATTTTATATGTAGTATAAGTACACCCTTTGGTTATATTCTAAGCTATTCCCCTGATGTGTTGTATTCAGAACACGCTAAACTCTGATATCTGCAACACATTTTTCAAAATAAGTTACAATGCATTTTATATACTTTCTTCTTCAAAGCAAAATAAATATTTACCCAGCTTTTGAAAGGTAAAAGCAAAATAAAATATTTATTTTTACATCCATATGAGGATTTTCTGGTCAAAATAGCTAATTGAAAAAATAATAATAAAATGTGAACCAGATAGCCAAAGACTAAAAGATGTTAATATGTATAACAAAAGTAGAACAATAAATTTATGAATGAAAGTGCTAATTGGGGTTTCATTTCTATTAAAGTTTTAGCCTTGATTAGAGTTGTTATCACCCACATAAAAGCATACTTGAGTTTTTTCACCTTTGTTATAAAAATTGCAATTCAAGGAGCTCAAATAATGGTGTAGAATGCAAACAAAATGTTATTTGATCATTACACTTAGGAATAAAATATTAAAAGTAATGGGAATCTTGACTTCCAATTTTGGTAATGGTTGGTGGATGAAGCCATTCAGAACAATCCTCCCACTGACAACAGCTAGAAAAATTGAACATATAATGCATTTGCAGAGCTAAAGAGGCAGTAAAAATTTACAGGCCCAGAGTCCTGGAGAAGAAAATAACCCAGAGAGATAGCTTCATATTTGGAAATGCTTTTCCCTGAGGGGCATATGCCAATTTATAAACAGAAAGCTAAGAAACTAACAAACTGAGGAATACTTTAGAAGTATTCAATGGTTAGGTGGTAACAAAACTGGGGGCCAGGACTTGTCAAATGAAGGTGGGACCGAGATAACAAGAAAAATCCCCAAATGAAAAGTACTTTGAATAGGATGATAATAAAAATACTCTGTATCAAAATTTCACAAGTTTTGATAGTAGATGTGATGCAGCTGAGTTGTATTGAGGAAAATTGATAGCCTGTAACGTATAAGAAAAGTAGTCTGAGCTACTTATCAAGTTTAAGAAGTCAAAAAAAAAAATCAGCAAGTTAAATTTAAACAAGGAAGAAAACAAGAGCAAAAATTAACAAAATAGATAAGAAATACAATTAAGAAAGTTGATCTGACAGAAGGTTGGTCCTTTAAAAAGACCAAAATAAGTTGTTGAAACTTATAAGGAAAATAAGTGAAGGCACAAAAATGTAACAGGAATTTTAAAAGCACATTGTTACAGATGTTACAGGTAATAGAAGGATAACTTATGTACAAGTTTATGCCAGTAAATTTGAAAATTAAGATGATATGGACAAATTCCTAAAAAAGTTCCTCCCCAAAGAAATAGAAAATATGAATGGTTTTGTAACTATCAAAGACTTCAAATCTGGAATTAAAACTTACCCATCACAAAATGCAAGGCCAGTGGTCTTACTAACAAAATCTACCAAATATACAAGAGAGTAATTAACTTTAGTTGTACACAGATTCTTCATGAAGTTAGAAAAAAAGCAAGACACTATTCAATCCATTATATAAAGAAAGCACAACTTTGATAACAAAACCTGACAAAGTTATTCCAAGAAAATGAAATTATAGGCCAATCTTTCACATGATTGTAGATTCAAAGGTAAATAAATTAGCAAACAGAGAATTGCATAAATAAACAAACAGATCGGGTTTATTATATAAAAGCAAGATTGGTTTGGCATTCAAAAATCGATCATTGTAATTCACTACATTAGGACCAAAAGAGAAAAATTATATGCTCTTCTTGGCAGATGAAGAAAAGGTACAGATAAAGTTCAACATCCAGTCTTAGAAAAACAAAAACAAAACAAAACAAAACAAAAAAACAAAACCTAGAAATAACCAGCAAACTAGAAACTTTAAAAAGTGTTTATTATTTTTATGAAGATTACTTCAAGAAAATCTATATCAAGTATCATACATACTAATAAAATAAAAATTTTTGACTGTCTTAAAGGATACAAATTGCTAACATTTCTATTCAGCATTGAATTGGAGTTGTGCTGGACTCTGTAGTCCAATAAAAAAATTAGAAAAAAGTATTTAAGAATTGGAAAGAATGAAACAAAAGTTATGGATTAGTGATGGTATGAATGTGTATGTAGAAAATCCAAGAGAACAAAATTAATAAATTATTTATCAGCTTGCTATGTTACAGAATTAATGTTCAAAAATAGATTATATTTGTATGTAACAGCAACACTTACAACATAGGATTAAAAACCAGATATCATTTGCAATAGCATTAAATGATCAAATATCTAGGAACAAACTCATTTAAAGATATGAGAGACCTCTACATGAAAAACTATAAAACCATTTTTTAGTAAAATAAAGGAAGATATAGCATGTTCATTGATTGAGAGACTTAATACTGTAAAGATATAAATTCTCCTCAAATTGATCTATAGATTCAGTCAGTGAATTTCCAGTTAAAAATTCCAGGTTGTGCGTATGTGTGTGTGCACAAGTAAATGTGCTTGAAGCTGAATGTAAAGTTTATATGAAGCTGCACAAGGACAAAATGTGTCAAGATACTCTTCAGGAAGAAGAAAAACCTGGCTCTTGATGACTATAGATTAATATAGTAATTAAGACAGTGGGTTAGTTGTACAAGGATAAACCAAATAAATCAATGAAAGTTGTCCATGCATACATAGGCACTTGATTTATACCCAGCTTGCACTAAAGTGTGTAGTATAGATAAAGGGAGGTCTTTTCATTAAGTAGTTCTAAGTTAATTAGATATATGTATGAAAAATA